GCGCCGGGCCGTGGGCTCGGCGGCGGCTGGCCGAACACTGCATCTGCAGCCTCTGCGACGCGCGCCACCAGCACAGGCCCGGCGTCGGGCCCGGCCGCGGCCAGCAGCTGCCGCAGCGCCGCGCTCGGCTCAGGCGCGGCGTCAGCCGTGAGGCCCCGTAGCCACGCCACGCTGCCCATGGCTTGCGTGATGGGCGTCGCCGGCGCGGGCGGCCCCAGGTGCATGATTGGCAGCGGCGACTGCAGGCCGAGCGACAGCGGGCGCCGCGCGGACGGCGGCGCGAGCGGCGGCTTGGCGAGCATGTGCGGACCGCCGCCGCCGCCGCCCGCCGCCGCGGCAGACCCGGGGGTCGGGAAGCCGTTGGCGTGCGCGCCGCTGGGCGTCGCGCCGCCGCCCGCTGCGACCGGCCCTGCGCCGCCAATCATGCCGCGGGGGCTGGCGAGGGCGCCGAAATCGGTCGTGAGGAACTCCCGCTCGTCAATCTCCCCCGCCCGCTCGTATTCCGCCTGGTAGCTGCCGTCCAGGTACAACACCAGGTCGCTGAGCTGGCGCCGCTCCGAGAGCATGCCCGGCGCATGCAGCGCGCACACCGGCGCCAGCTGGCGCTCGAGCGGGTGCGGCGTCGACGCCGCTGCCAGGTCAGCGGGCAGCCAAGGAAACTTCCCGGCCTCCAGCAGCGCGCGGAACCGCGCTTCCACGGTCGGCATGAGTGCCTGCACCTGCGGGTAATCGGCGCGCGCGGCCGCCGCCAGCAGCTTGAGCGTGTTCAGGCGCCCGCTGGCGTCGATGGCGGCTGGATTGAGCTCCATGAGGGTGCGAATTTCGGGGTCGCCGTAGGGCATGCTGGCCACGAAGCAGCCGAGGACGCACACCAGCAGCTGCAGCGAGCTGCGGGGGCCGGGCGGGGCGCAGGGGCGGGGGACCCAAGGGTGGAGCGGTGGGCGGTGTGGCGCCTGGCAGTTCGCGCGGCGCGGCTGCTTGGCGCTCCGCGGGAGAGGTCTGCAGTTGCAGGTGCGTCGGACGCGGCGAGCGCCGTTCGATGCCGGTTGCTTGATGCACGATCCAACGCAGCTGCCCCTACACCCACCTGAATTCCCTGCTGCTGCCAACCAATGTACACACACATACACACACACACACACACACACGCATGCGCGCCCACACACCTGACGAGGTCTGGGTATTGCTGCAGCAGCTGCGCCTTGAGAAGCAGGAAAGTCAGCCACCCGGCCTGCAGCGCCTGCGGCTGCGGCACGGCCGCCGCCTTCTGCACCCGCCAGAAAAGGTCCTGCCGCCATTTATAAAAGTCGTCGGCAGGAGGCGGAGAAGGACTATGATGACGCTACTCTGCAGACGGCTGCATGCATGCAGGTCGCCATGCATCGGACCAGCTGCCCGCGGCGAAACGGGGATCGACGCGTCTGCCAAGCGAGGGGACACATGCACCCGACGCATGGGTACACGCGGGAGTGACGGGCCCGTCTCAGCCCTGATTATCACCTTGTACTTTTTTGCAAGGATAGTCAGGCTGACCAGCGTCTCCTGGCACTCCCGCAGCCGCAGGCCCTGCTCCACTGACTCTGAGCGCGGTCCCGCGACGGCCGCCAGGTGCGGCCGCAGGCGCGCCAGCACGACAGGCACCTCACGGAAAAACGCGACAAGGCTGGGCGCGGGGTGGCGGGGGAGGGGGTGGCCGGGGTGAGCACGGGCCGTGGCGGCGGCGGCGCGATTGCCGTGAGGCGTGCCGTTGGGGCGCGTCGCAACTGGCGCCATGCGATGCAGCTGCCACCGCGGGGCGCCAAGACTGGCAGCGCGGTTGCGTCCCGCGAGCTGCGTCGGCCCAGCTGCGCGGCGCGGCGCGGCGCGCTCCCAGGAAAGGCGCACTTGGTGTTTGAGCACGAGAGGATTTCTGAGAGCGGGAGGCGGCCGCCACTGGCCTGCCCGAGCAGCCACCTCACAATCCACGCCACCGCCGCGCCCTGCGTCTCATCATCATTTTGGGACTGCGCCAAGCACAGGCGCAGCGCGCCGGGGCGAGGGGGGCAGCAACCCCCGTCAGGGCGAATTGGCGCCAGATCGATGGGGGGCACCCACGACGGCGCCGGTGCCCCACCGACCGTAGCGCCTCCACCGTCGCAGCGTGCAACAATGGCACAACGTCGCCGGAAGTTGTTCAACGGCGCATACATGGCGAGGCTTGCTCCACGATCGGGCTAAGAAAGAGCTTTGGCGGGCTTCCAAGGCGAGGGGCAGGCGCGAGCCATGCCCGCATTTTCACGGCATGCATCTGCTCACCTGAAGGATGGTCTCCGTCTCCGTGCCCTGCCTTAAAACAGCGATGCAGTCGTCGAAAAGCTGGGCAGCCCGTTCCCGCTGGTTTGCACCCTCCAGGCAAAGCTTGTCCTGAAGGAGGGCCAGCAGGCCCGGCTTGGCCACAGCCATCCAGCTCACGGCTGGATGGCCCTCGCTAAGGCACCGGCCGCTGATCTGGCGCGCACCGCGCACCGCGGGTTTGGCCTTCGGGCGCTGAGACCGCCAATGACAGGATTCTTGATAGCAGCAGTCTTGTGCCAATGTGTGATTGCTGCATGCCAGCGCGCACCCTCCTGCACACACCCGCGTCCAGTCACTGAAACGACGACGACCGGACTATGAAGGTGGTCCCCAGTCGGAAAATATGCGTTATATAGCCACTCGAATCGTCCTCAGAAAAGACTTGCCGCCAGATCTCGGCGCAAAAGTGACACCGGCACTGCGGAAGACCATAACAGAGCAGGGTACCCGAGAACAGAAAGCACCTTGGAAGGCCCGGCGATGCCGCCGCTTTGTAAAGGTGGCCCAGTGCTCGTCCAGCGCGGCGGCGCCTCGGCGCCAGCCGCAGCAGGGGCGGCGGCCGTGGCCCGTTCTCATCGGCGCGAGCACCGGCAGTGGCGGGGTACAGGCAACGGCAGCAGGCGACGCGGGTTGCGCGACCTGAGGTGGGGTGGGAGATCATGCCTAACATGTAGACGGGGCACTCTCATGCGCGTTGGTTTGCGGGTTGAGCAGTGCGTTGTTGCCTTTCAGGCTCCGCCCAACCCTCTCGCATGGCCGCCACCCCTGCTGCGCAGGGCCGCCGCCAACCTGCCAGGCACAGAGCCCCGCGCCCCCCCGCCGCCGCCGCCGCCACCGCCGCCGCCCCCGCCGCCGCCGCGGCGCACGGTGCGTTTCTGCCCGGGCGACATGCTGTAGCTGCTGGGCGGTTTCCGGGCAAGGGCTAGCATTGCATGGCCGCACCCTCGACGCGCCGGCGCATTCTGCGCCCTCTGAGCGACAGCACTGCGGCCGCGGGCCGCACCGTCGCGTCGATGCTCGCCGCTGGCGCTGTTGCTGCCAGCCGGCGCGCTCACTGCTGCGCGGCCGTGCCGTGAACAGCGCAGTGCGGGCAAACACCCTACAGTGCCGCACTTCCGCCGCATGCACCCCCCCAACACACACAGCACACATACACCCACATATACAAGCATACACACACACACACACTCACACATACACACACACGGCGCCTGCCTCGTTTTAACCTCCGCAGGGCGGATTCCCGCGGCCCACGCGGCGCGACCTGATCGCCGCCGGGGTCGGCAGCGTGATCGGTGGCGCGGTCATGTACATCTGGGACACACGTGAGCGCGGGTTACTCAATACAGTTGGCGAATCAATTTGGTTCAGCAGGCGGGCTAACCTCAAATCACTGAGCGGCGCCCGGGTTTTGGTGCCGTCGAATGCAGCTGGCTCTGCGCGTGGGCATGCGGGCCGCGGAGCAGATGAGAGGCCTGGGCGCGGCTGCCCAAGGCGCCGCGGGGAATGCTCACGTTTGAGAGCCGTCCGCTGCCCTTTTCTGACGCGGCCGCGC